AACAATGTCCATTCTCCCCTCTCAGTTCCCTGGTCTCGCAGAATAGGAGTGTACCTGGATCACAGTGAAGGTATTCTGTCCTTCTACAGCGTCACCGATGACACCATGACCCTCCTGGACCGAGTCCAGACCGCCTTCACTCAGCCGCTGCACGCTGGACTTTGGGTTTATTTATTTTCTGGAGAAACTGCTGAGTTCTGTAAACTCAAATAGACAGAAGGGATTCGCTCGGTTCTCAAACGTTTCCCTGGAGGAAGCCCTTTGTTATCATTACGTGAACTAACACTGCTGGCTGATTGTTGTGGGGTTTCTTCAGCTGTCAATCAAACATGAGGGGCGGGACCTCTATCTGTAGCTGTTGTGTAAGTGCTTGATTTCTTTAGCTGTGCATGGATGCTCTCACTGCTCATGGTGTGTTTCTCTGCAGGAACTCTTCTCTGCGTCCACATGTCGGAGGAAGATTTGTATTCATGTGGTTTCTTTGCTGCTGTTTCTCTTCCACTGCAGGGCTCTGCAGAGAGGAAGCAGACCTCCTTTATCCTGCACACTTTGTTCTCTCTGTGAGCGTAAAGATGTCTATAACCCCATGTGTTTGTTAGTATAGGTTTTATAGAGGTGTAATCATCCTGATCAGAATCAATAAGGAGAGGATTCATGATGTTCTCTTAGAGCGGAGATTGTGCTCAGACAGTGATTGTGTGGATTAGTCAGCTGTGATTATGGGAACATCCATATTTTTTAAATTATTATTATTACTGCAGATACTTATCATCTTAACATTAATCATGACAAGTTATTTTATGTAGCAGTAAAATCAAAGGACGTACAAATCAATAGCATAAATCTGCAGTTTGAAGATTTTAAAGGACGACCTTTGTCCATAGTTGCTGTGTTTACCCAGCATGCTCTCTGTTTGTGTTTGACTGCAGACAGAACAAAGACCCCCTCTCTTTTTGTTAGCCAATCAGCAACCACGGTAACCCCCCTCCACCTTATCACCTGAATCTCCCCCTAGAGAGGTTTTTTTAAACCAATCATCTCTCAGAGGGGCGTGGCCAGCAGCAGCTCATTAGCATTTCAAGCTACAGACACAGAATCAGCACTTTTGAATCAAAACAGTATAATAGGGGACCTTCAGTTAACCAGCGACATCTTGCAAGAAACAGCGTCTGAGGGCTACTTAACATTCAATAAACTATGAATGTGTCATACCCACTTAAGGGGAAGAAACTCAGCTTTCAGACAATATTAACCATTTTTAGCAAAACGAAACACAAGGGTAATAACGAAGGCTCTGAATTAGCCCTGAGCGAAAAAATGCTGACGCACTTAGCACAGAAATCACGGTAAAATACCCTTATTACTTATCGGATCTGCACAAACAAGGTATCGATTACCAAACTGAGATTCCACAGATTCCAGAAATGTTAGTATCATCACTGAAAACTCGCGGCATGGGAAACAAACCCAGACATCACACCACGTAGCTTTACAGAGCAAACACGGGACATTGTCTTACCTTTGCTATTTTTCTGATCAGAAGTTGTGTTCAATGGCATTAAAACGATAAAACCGCTGCTCAAGGTTAATCCAATGTGTCTGTGTCACTTTGAAATGATTACTGATAATCCATCATAACATTTTTACGTCATAACGGAGTTTTCATATATAGCTGCTATGATAGCTACTAGAGTGTATGACAGCTTCCGGTTTTGGGCATTCTGGCTGCGCAGCACTCATTCACCAATGGGTAATGTTTAGATGGATTTTGAGGAAGTTCCCCTCGATCCTATTGGCTCTAACGATTACAAAGAGATGTCAACCATCAAAATCAAATAATCGACCAAGGGGGGCCATAGATATGGAAAATCCACCCAAATGACCCCAGAAGTGGTTTTTTTGCTAAATCTTTCTAAAAAGGTCAAATGTCACTTGTTTTGCATCAATCTTGATACAGGGTACTTATTATATGTTATAGTTTGGATTCCTAAAGCTTTTAGTCTCCGATCCCATCATTCAAGGCTGGTTTTCACTATAAGTAATGTTTTTGTTGGACGAACACTATAATTTACATTTTTTACTATGTTCAATCTGAATTCTCTTTAAATTAAAAACATCTATATTGATTCTGACTTTTCTACATCCAACTCACAGGTTTATCATTACTTTGAGAACAAAGATTATTAATTTAACCCTTTTAGAAGATACGGTGATTTGTTCTGGGAAAGTCATTTTCGAGTCTGAGGCCTGAAAAACAGGCTCGGGGCTTAACAGGTTAAATCTTAACAACATTCAGGGTTAATCATTTAATCAATTCAACACTTTGTCCTGAATGTCACTTATTGATTTCTGTGCTCTATTTTATGAACAGTTTGTGTCATCAATGTTTGTTTATATGAAAATTCAATAAAATGTTGATTCATATAATAATTGATGTCCTCAGAAGTCATTCCCGTAAAATGTGTTTTTAAATATTTAGTAGTTTTTCCAAAATGTGGAACTTGAAACCTTTGTTTTAAACATTTATAATATTTGTATATAAGATCATTTATAGAGGAGTGTCTTTCTTATCCATCTATGTTTTATTATAGATTAAAAGGTACATTATGTTTTATAAGTAATGCTATATTTAAATTATTGAGTTGTTTATTTATACATATATGGTTTCTTTACCTCTGGTCACATTTTACATCATGAAAATAAAATGGACTTTATAAACTCGTCATCTCACGCCTAGACTACTGCAACTCCCTCCTGGCTGGTCTACCTGCATGTGCCATCCGACCTCTGCAGCTCATCCAGAATGCAGCGGCTCGTCTGGTTTTCAACCTTCCTAAATGTTCCCACACCACGCTGCTCCTCCGCTCCCTTCACTGGCTTCCGGTAACTGCTAGAATCCACTTCTAGACACTGGTACTTGCGTACCATGCTGCGAATGGATCTGGCCCTTCCTACATCCAGGACATGGTTAAACTGTACACCCCAGCACGTGCACTACGCTCTGCATCAGCCAAACGACTCGCTGCACCCTCGCTGCGAGGGGGACCCAAGTTCCCATCAGCAGAAAAACGTGGGTTTGCTATCCTGGCTCAAAAATGGTGGAATGAGCTCCCCATTGACATCAGGACGGCAGATAGCTTACACACCTTCCAGACTGAAAACTCATCTCTTTCGACTCCACTTTGCAGAATTACTAACAAAGCACTTATATAATAATAAAGGACTGGCTTATCTAAAGCCAGTTGAGTAGCACTTGAAATGTTTGGCTCTATGAAGTCTGATGTACTTTATGATTCTGTTTTCTTCAAGGTTGTATTTTGTTGGTCGAACGCACTTATTGTAAGTCGCTTTGAATAAAAGCGTCAGCTAAATGCAATGTAATGTAATGTAATAATGTAGTGTAATAAACACATGTTTTCCTCAGAATCTTTAGGTACGTACAAATCAGAAGACTTCATTTATTGGGGTTTTATTTCTAAAAACTAAGAAGTTAGAGAAAAAACGTTTAATGGAAAATAAAATAAAATAGATTAAACATATTTTTATTTTTATATAAGAATTTAAAATGAAATGAGTAATACAAATAAAAGAAGAAAGAAAGAAGAAAGAAATGTATATAGGAATACAAAAATTAAATGTGCTTTAAAAATTAAATAAAAAATAAATGAGAAGTAAAAAATGTATATAAGAAGTGTAAGCTTTAAACAACCCTCCTGTTATCTCCATCAGAACAACCTTCTGGATCCGCACCAGTCTGGTTTCAAGGCAAGTCACTCCACAGAAACTGCTCTCATTGCTGTCACGGAGGAACTGCACACTGCCAAAGCAGCATCCCTCTCCTCTGTCATCATCCTGTTGGACCTGTCTGCTGCATTCGACACGGTGAATCATCAGATCCTCCTTCGCACTCTCCAAGCACTTGGAGTTTCAGGCTCTGCACTTTCCCTCCTCACCTCATACCTCAAAGACCGTACCTACAGGGTAACTTGGAGAGGGTCTGAGTCCGACCCTTGTCAATTAACTACAGGGGTCCCTCAGGGCTCTGTTCTTGGTCCCCTCCTCTTCTCCCTCTACACAAACTCGCTCGGATCAGTCATTAGCCCGCATGGTTTTTCTTACCACTGCTACGCTGACGACACCCAATTAATTCTGTCCTTTCCCCGCTCAGAGACCCAGGTCGTCGCACGCATCTCTGCTTGTCTAGCTGACATCTCTCAGTGGATGTCTGCTCACCACCTCAAGCTCAACCTTGACAAGACTGAGCTGCTCTTCCTTCCGGGAAAAGATTGTCCCACTCTTGACCTAACAATCAACATCGGCACCGCTGTTGTTTCCCCGACTCAGACTGCAAGGAATCTGGGTGTGACCCTAGATAACAACCTGTCCTTCACTGCAAACATCGCTGCTACAACCCGCTGCTGCAGATACACGCTTTACAACATCAGGAGGATACGTCCCCAGCTGACACAGAAAGCCACGCAGGTTCTGTCAACAGAAACACGTGGGTTTGCTATCCTGGCTCCAAAATTGTGGAATGAGCTCCCCATTGACATCAGGGACAGCAGAAAGCTTGCACATGTTTGGCTCTATGAAACCTGATGTACTATATGATTCTGTTTTCTTCAAGTTTGTATCTTCTTGGTCGAATGCACTTATTGTAAGTCGCTTTCGATAAAAGCCTCAGCTAAATGAAATGTAAGATTACATGTGCAAAACAAATGAATAATACAATCTAATTAAAATTATTATATTTATAAAAAAACATCAGGAGTTACATATTTAAAAACGTACACAACGTGTGTGTGTGTGTGTGTGTGTGTGTGTGTGTGTGTGTGTGTGTGTGTGTGTGTGTGTGTGTGTGTGTGTGTGTGTGTGTGTGTGTGTGTGAGTGTGTGATTGTGACCCTGCAGTAAATAGTTAAATCCAAGTGATTTTCCTCTTCCTCATGATTTTACTCTGAAAATCCATGAGTCCTGTTGTTGTGTGCTTCCGGTGTTCCCTGAATGTGGGCGAGGCTCAGAAACAGCTGCGAGTCTCTCTTCAGGTTTTTCTGATTCAACGACAATTTAGGATTTAAAAAGCCTTCAAACCCAGGAAACATAAGAAGAGGATTAAACGCGTTCTGCCAGGAGAGGAAAGGGGTTTCTTCTCCACTTCCGGTGCAGGAACACAGACGGTGAGTCCAGCTCGTTATTTCTTTGTCTGGTTTCTGCACTGCTGAGGAGAACATGTAGAAACACTGATACATGTGGGGCTTCTGGTCTCAAAGGTACATTATTTAATTTGATTTGATTGTATTTCAGGTATTTTTCGGAGTTACTCCCTTGTGTTTATTATGAGAAATGCATGTTATTCTTTTCTTATTTTTCCTGCTGAAGTCAACATTTAAATATTAAAAGGTTTTATGACAGGTTTAAGTAACTGGAATAATCTGGCTTCATGATACTAAAACAAACATCTTTTGAGTTATTTTTTAAAGTTACTTTCGTAATGAGAAATGCAAGTCTCCACTTATTTTAAGCTGTTTTTATTAATATAAGAATACATATTTCCAGATATCGTCCGCGTCCCTCAAGTCAATAAAGGTTCATAATCCTCGACTCAAGTGTCCTTCTTCATCTCCTTTATATCCTTCTCTCCTTCCCTAAAGTTTGTTTTCAGTCCTTTGTATATCCTTCTTAAAGTCCTTCCTTGTATCCTTCCTTAGTTCCTTTTGTATGTCCTTGTTAGTGCTATTATTATTTATTTTTTAAAGCTGCAAATACAATCTGATAATTATTTAATATTCACGATTACCAGAGTGAAAAGTATTATAGAGATGCTTCGTGTGCGTGTGTGTGTGTGTGTGTGTGTGTGTGAGTGTAAGTGTGTAATGTGTGTTTCCTGTGACGCGTTTTCCTCCAACATCATCAGCTCCAACAGACTGCTGCTGCTGCAAGGCATTCTGGGAAACAGGGGGGGGAGACACATCTGAGGAAGGGGATTCAATAAATGAATAAATGTAATCCTGTTATAAAGCCCTGAAGGGAACAGGAAAATAATAATATATAACTATACACAAAACTATATGAATCATTCCTTCACACGTTTGGAATATTAAGTTCATTTGTGATTTTAAAATCTATATAAATAAATTAAATGACCCCCACTAAATGGACATTCTTTTCCATAATAATCTTGATTTTGTTTCTTTTCATTTAATCGTTTTTTGGCAGGGACATTAATGAACACATAAAACAAAAAAATGCATCAAGCGTAAATATGAATATGAGCTCATTTCCATCCGCAGTCCCTCAAACATTTAAGAACATGACATTTATAAACATGGCAAAAACAAATACATGATATGCAGAAAGAGCAAGAGCATCATACACAAGTATTTACCACATGGCAGTACAATGTAGCAGCGATATATAAAGGGCAAGATAGGTCTTCACTGTTGTGTTGCCAGCATCAGAGCACCTCCTGAGCGCGGTGGTGGTGCTGCAGGGACTTCACCCCTCATGTCTGCAGCAAGCTGCTCCCTGAAGGACTTCTGGGTGTGTGGCTTCGTCCTGCCGGGGTCACCCCTCATCTTGTGCAGCTCCTTGTGGAGAAGGAAGCTGTTCACCACTGCAATGTCCAGAAAATGGTAAAAAAAAAGGTCTTGTACCATTTCATGGTTTTGTGGTGAACGCTGTAGTACCCAATCAAAGCATCGGACACATCCACGCAGCCCATGCTTCTGTTGTAGTCCATCACAGCGTCAGGAACGGTAACAACCTTAGTCTGCCACACACCAGCCCGTTTCACTTTCCTCCCGACAGTCTGTCCACTGAATCAGAAGATGCAGAGGGAGGCTGAGTTAGTACTGGTGTAGACGTCCGGCGGCGTAGCTTGGATGTTGATGGCTCTGGGGCAACTGTATGCTGATCTGATGCACGTCGTAGCTCGGATGAGGCAGATGTTGATGGCTGTGATCCAGAAGCCATTTAATACTTGTCTTCATCACTGTGAAAACAAATGTGGAAAAAACAATTACTTTGATTACTTCACTGGATTATTCTTTCAAAAATGTAACTCAAATCAGAAATAATTCCTCCATTTAGCGTGTGTGAAATAACAGTATACACATATATATATATATATATATATATATATATATATATATATATATGTGTGTATTGTAGTGCCGAGAGATATGGAGTCAGAGGCGGTGCAAGGAAGGTGCAAGAATAGTGATTTATTCACAAGCTGCAAAGGACATGTTGTCGGGTCGCAGCCCGGGTCGACAAGAAGAGAGAGCCAAGAGGGTACACACTATTTATAGGTAACCCATAACATGTCCGTGTGGGAACAATACCGCAACTGTAAGTTCCAAGTTTGAATTATGTCCCAGTGTTAAATAGGTGGTCACCACACAAGCCCCCCCAGAATTCAAACATGGCAAAAAAAATATTTATCCCCACGTCCGTGGAGGAAGCACCACAAGGGCCGAGGAGGGTGGGGGCCGCAGGTGAGGACCGGGCCACGAAAGGTGGAGCGCAGGAGAGGGCAGGGGCCCCTAACGAGGGCGAGGGCACCCACACCGGGGGGCGGGGCGTCGTAAGGGGGCCGCAGTAAGGTGTCGCGGAGAACCCAGCAGGAAAGAGCGCAACCCCGGCCGCAGGCAGGACGCACAACGGCGGTGGGCTACGAAGTCCTCGGCAGGCGTCGAGGTATCCCCGGAAGAGAGGAGCAGTCCCCCCGGGAGGAAGGAGCGCAACCCGGCCGCAGGCAGACGTGCCACGACGGCGGGCATGAAGTCCTCAGCAGGCGCTGAGGCATCCCCGGGAAGCAGGAGAGGCCAGACAGGGTCCCGGAGCGCGCCACCCAAGGGCCGATGGAGCATGGGCGACGTCCGGAACTGTCGAGGCGAGAGGGGGTCCAGGAGTGCGCCACCCAGGCGCCGATGAACGTGAGTGGCGTCTGGATATCCCCGGAAGGCAGAAGAGGCCAGACAGGCTCCGGAGCGCGCCACCCCACGGGCCGATTGCAGCATGGGCGACGTCCAAAAACCGTCGAGGCGAGACGGGGTCCAGGAGTGCACCACCCAGGCGTCGATGGAAACTGTTGAGGTGGCGTCTGGGAACCACCGTGGAGGTGGTGAAAAATGTGGAGAGTGTCCCACATGAGGTCAACCGGCTGGTCGAACCTCCTCTCCGCACCAGAAAGAAAGAAAAAAAAACTCAAAAGGGCTGATAGCCGTTAGCACTAGCCGTCGTTAGCCCACGTGGTTAGCAGCCGGGACGTGCAGCCGCACGCCCCGAAGAACAAACCCACGAGGTAGCAATGGGGTGCTGGTCGACCCAGCAGGTCGTTGCATTGTCCCCCCCGTTTGGATAGAAAGCCCGAATGCGGGGGGGAACGGCGAGCAAACGTCTCCAGCCTTCTTCGGAGAGCGCGCACCGAGCCTCAGTCCGCGTGCCGGTGGCAGCCACGGACGTCTCCAATCAAACCCCCGGCATTTCGAGGAAAGGAACTCGAGTTCCTTTTGCCGTGTTCGGCTCCGTCCCGGAAACTTCTCAAGACGTATCAGGGTCACCAGTGTAGTGCCGAGAGATATGGAGTCAGAGGCGGTGCAAGGAAGGTGCAAGAATAGTGATTTATTCACAAGCTGCAAAGGACATGTTGTCGGGTCGCAGCCCGGGTCGACAAGAAGAGAGAGCCAAGAGGGTACACACTATTTATAGGTAACCCATAACATGTCCGTGTGGGAACAATAACCGCAACTGTAGTTCCAAGTTTGAATTATGTCCCAGTGGTTAAATAGGTGGTCACCACAGTATACTGTTATTTCACACACGCTATAGTATATATATATATGTATACTGTTATTTTACACACGCTATAGTATATATATATATAGACTGATATACAATACAGCTTTATTTATAAACTGCTGTTAGTCAATGTCTGTAGAACTACATTTGGCGTGTGTGGAATAACAGTGTATATATGTATATATATATATATATAGTCTATATATGTATATATATATATATATATATACTGGGTTGATATACAATACAGCTTTATTTATATACTGCCGTGTTATAGTCACGAAATACAATTAATCTATTTATACGTTCACCAACGTGATGTTGCCATTGTTTTAGTTTCTCACGGAACGATAACGCTACAACAACAAAGCGGCGTCCATTTTGTATTTTGCGAGTGTGGAATGACTATAGATTACATTAAATACACAACTAATAGATACAAACAGAGAGAGTACATACCTTTCCTGAAGTTCATAATCAGGGTTGCCTGCTGTTGTCTCTGTGTTCTCTGTTCGCTGTGTTCTCTGTTCGCTGTGTTCGTTGTATGGGCATAGATATGTCTCATAATTATTTGTGTGAACATAAAAATAATTTGTGTGTAAATATGTGATTTGTAAATGTAAAACAACATCCACAAATGCATTTAAAAGATTTGCAAACTCACAAATACATTTGCAAGTGTAAAACGGATCTGCAAATACGCTAAATATGTTCACAAATAAAAAAAGATCTGGGAATATTCCTCTTTACCATTTCCACTCTTTCGATCAGGCATTTGTGAATCCAATTTGTATTTGTGGACCAAAACTGCGCTTGCGGATCTCAAATCTCTGTTCGCGGATCTCAAATCTCTGTTCGCGGATCGTCTTTTTACACACACGGAATTTTGAGACATATTTTCCGCCGGTCTCTCTCGGCTAAAATCTACTCGTGTCACTCGGTTATTTTCGGAAACCACGTGATGGCCTGCTGATTGGGCGACATTTTCCGCATGATTTCAAAGTAAGAGCATGATGGTTTGTTAATGCTTGTGTTTGTATATAATGAACAGCGGAACCTTAGATGCATTCTTCATCACCATCACCATCATCATCATGTTATAGTGATACAGTTAGTTTGTGTTATTGATTCAATATAGCATATATCGAGCACTTTCGTTGATGTTGAAGTGCAGGCTATACGCCACTTTCGGGTCCCGGGGGAGCAGTATAGCCGAGACCGGCGGAAAATATGTCTCAAAATTCCGTGTGTGTAAAAAGACGATCCGCGAACAGAGATTTGAGATCCGCAAGCGCATTTTTGGTCCACAAATACAAAATGGATTCACAAATGCCTGATCGAAAGGTGTAAATGTTAAAGAGATATTCACAGATCTTTTTTTTATTTGTGAACATATTTAGCGTATTTGCAGATCCGTTTTACACTTGCAAATGTATTTGTGAGTTTGCAAATCTTTTAAATGCATTTG